AAGGGTATTACACAGAAACATACCAAGGGAACATGAATCAAATATGCACTTTTATTCATTTACAATAAACTCATAAAGTACATCATTCTGATTGAAGTTAAGGGCATACAAAACTGTCTAACAATATCCCCATGTGGAAGCATTTGTGCTGATAAAAAAAGAGTGGAAGAATTTGCCTAGCTGGTGGCAATTGACAATATACTTAAGGTTATTGAAGAGAAAAAGGATATCAAATGGCTAATAGGTGCTTGCTCTGTGAAGCCGAATGGGAGAACGTGTTGGGCACTTTATTTGGGGATTCCTATTTTGGCTTTTGAATATGGAGTTATGGCCACCTTGGTTTCCTAAAGACATTTTTGCTCTTTGGCTGTTTCTCAATGGGAATAGGATGACAAAGATTCTATTGAGTGGTGTACCTTGCAATGTGTTGGGAGGTGTGGAAGGGAGTGAACAGAAGAGTCTTTGAAGGAAAACCGAAATGCAAGGAGAAGCCTGACATGGACATTTAGTCAAAGCTACTGGATTGGATTTTGGTCCTACCAGAATTTATAAGAGTGTTTTGGATCTGATTTTTGGTCTATTTTAGAGTTAGAATATTGAGGTTCCGGTTGATAAGTTGGTTGTATTTTCTTTTTATATGTCTTTTGTTGTATTGGATGATACCTCATCACTCTAATCTTTTGTAATGCTTTATCTTAATGAAATTTTTATTTATTATAAAAAGCCCTGAATGATGGGTTGCCTAGGCTGCACCCATCAATGTGTAATTTCAGCCTTCCTGTAGCTGGTTCTGTCCAATGTTCCAATCAACCTGCCTTTGCTGTTTTCTGATGTGAAACCTTTGTGCACTGTTACTGAAAGGAAAAAAAAATTCTGAAAGGGTTTGATTTTTCCACTTGCATCGATATGTCTAAGAAAAGCTCTTTTCTTGTTTGATGTTTGATTTTAAGAATAGTATCCAACCTTAGAACAAGGGATATTCTGAATTCCTACTTGTATAGGGTTGATGTATTGGAAGGATAACGGAATGTTGCAAGAAAAGTGATTAATATCTGAAGGTTGTGAATGATATTTGGATTTGGGTTTGGTCAGATAACTAGTTTGGTGGTGGTGGTGGTATATAACAACTTGAGTGAAGTGTTCAAACATTACTTCTTTCCAAGCAGGGGTGGTGAATGGGAGCCAAACACACACACACCCCCCCCCTGCCTTGAAACTTCCCACAGCCCCATTCCCATTTATATTTTTGCTCCTCCGGTGCATGTTTATTAGCTTTTGGCCCCCTAAACATCCTGGCTCTGCCCCTGCTTCTGAGGGATTGTTAGTGAAATGCTATTCTAAAATGAGGAATATCTTGTTGAAGGAACTTGTTTTAAATGAAGGTGTATGCCTTGATTTAAATTTAAGAAATCGGTTTTAAATTAAAGCTAATCATTTTGGCAGATAAGGGAGGCCACCATTTTTGCTTTGTCTTCAATTTCAGAGCCATTGGTCGAAGCACAGGTCTGTTCTTTGTCATTGTTACTGGTATTGTGGTTATCTTCTTGCTCTTGTCTTAATCCTCTGATTTGTTCATTATACTAGTACCACTGTTCCAGTATTTGTAGCTGTTGAGAATTCCAGCAATTTGGTTTTTTTGATCGGTTACAATTTAGATTATATTGTGTTCTCATTTTCCATGTGGAATTCAAATGTGAAAATTCAGTGGATATGCAAGTACATCAGTTCTCTAAACACGATTGGTTTCAGACCCAAGCATTACAACACTACAGAACTGTGAATCCCAAGGGTTTTGGTTCATATCTTATGTCCTGATCATTTTCTGCAAATATCTTATTATTGTTTTACAAATCCATTCATGAAGCTTATGATTTAGATGATTCGTATGACTTGAATCATTCCAATTGAGATGTTGTTTTCTACTTCATTATTCCTTTTCTTCTATTTTTTTTAGTGGGCTGTTCTTTTAAATCCCATAGACAAACACAATTTATTTAGGTTACTTTAGACCAATTTACAAACCTTAGAGTTCATTATCCATCCTATGTAGGTTAAAGCTCTATAGTATGTGAAGGGAACAGATGTTTTGGGTACAGTTATGAAAAGAAGTAAAAGGAAATTTAAAGGGTAGAGATAAGACTCCTTATCTCTAAAAGAGATTTTGTACATGTATGAACTTCTTCATATCATGTTAATAAAATTTGATTGTTATTGATAAAAAAAGGCACTGTACTATCAAGTATGTGGATGAGCTGACTTGCAAGTTGCAAGTCAATCTTTGATTATATCATCTGGAACTTCTAGTGTTTAAGTGGTAAACTTTATTGTAGTAAGCATATATATTGGTAGGTATGGATTAAGAATAGGGTAAAATCACTTCTCATATATCATTCAAGTCTTGTACCAACAATATTGGGTGGGTTGGCTACATGAATCCTGTTATACCACTCTGTTATTTTCAGTCCCATATCCAATATTAAACAATGAGCCGCTAAATTGTTTCTCATGACCCCATTACCTTTTTTGTCTGCCTCTAGCTCTTCTAGCCCCTTAAGCATGTTAAGAGATCCCTTCTTCTTGCTAGTGGTGTAGATGATATTCTTTACATGTGACCAAACCATCTTAGTCTACTCTCGTTTTATCACCTATTGGAGCCATACCCCTAGGTCCCTTGCAATAAGTTTGATTCGGATGCCATCCAATCTAGTTTTCCCATTGATCCATCTCAATATTTGCATGTTTTGCCAAAATCATCTTTTGGATGTGATATTTCTTTACTGTCCAAAACTTGCCCTATACAACATTATTGGCTTTGTAACTGTTTATAAAGTTTTTCTTTTAGGCTAACTAGTATTCTTCTATCATATAAGGCTCTTGGTGCACCTCCTCTTAGTCAATTCATCCATGATAGTGCAAATAAATAACAGCTAAGTACCAAGCCTTGGTGAAGTTCTATAGTGATTGGAAACTCTATTGTCTCTCCCACATTTATTCTGACATTGATTGTTGAAGCTTCATACTTATCCATTTTCTGCTCATTTTTTCCCAAAACCTACCATATTATCTATCTAGGAACTTTACCATATGGTTCTCTAGACTAATGAATATAATTTGGGACTTTCTTCTTCCCTCTAAACTTTTCTATCAATTTTCTCAGTAAAAAAAAAGTTTTTGTGGTTGATCTCCCTAGTGTAAAGCCAACTATGATACCAGGTTACCTATAAAAGGCTGTCATATCATATTTCATCATCATCTAAGCCTCATCCCAACTATATGGTGTTGGCTACACGAATCCTGTTTTGCCGTTTCATTCTGTTTAGTGCCATGTTGTATCATGTTCAATGGCATTTTTGTTTATTTTCTTTGTTATCTTTGTTTCGTTTTCTTTGGCATTTTTTGGTAAAAAAATGGGACCCACTATGCTGATTTAATGGTGGGCATGGCCCACTTAAATTTAACAGTGGGCCTTGCTGACAAGTAGGACCCACTATACTGATTTTGTAGTGGGCATGGCCCACTTTAATATTTTAACAGTGGGACCCACTATGTTGATTTGATAGTGGGCATGACCCACTTTGACATTTTAAACTTGAACATTTTAACAGTGGGCCCCGCTGAGAAGTGGGATCGACTATGTTGATTTGATAGTGGGCATGACCCACTTTGACATTTTAAACTTGAATATTTTAATAGTGGCTCCATTGACAAGTGGGACCCACTATGTTGATTTTATAGTGGGCATAGCCCACTTTGACATTTTAAGCTTGAATATTTTAATAGTGGGCCCCACTATGTTGATTTGATAGTGGAAAGAATCCACTGGATATATAAGAAAACAATTGAGATAAGACTTGGAGTTCAACAGAACTCTAGAGAGAGAGAGAGAGAGAAGGATTGAGAGTAGATAAAGTTTAAAGGGATAGAAGATAAGAGATCAAAAAAGAAAATAAAATCTGTACCTGTGTATTAATCCTATTCAATCAGCAGAATTACAGTTCCCTCTTCTATTTTCTCTCTTCTCTCCTTTCTCTCTCTATCTTCTCTCTTTTCTCTATCTGCCGCCCCTTTTTTCCTCTCCTCTCTCCCTTTTATAGAGGATGTAGTTATGGGCAGGGATGTTAGAGCAACCTCCCCACTCTTCATATGTGGGGTGGTTGCTTAACTCCCCCAATAACCAGAATAATTTAAAAATTAAATTTATGTGAAGTGGGCCAGCTGTCAAATCTGTTCCCTCAAGCCTTATATATGTTTTACATCATATATATATATATATTACATCAGAAAAGGTACCTATTTCTTTTAGTAATGTCAAGGTTAATATTTTAAAAAATTGACCTGGAGGTTAAACTGTTTTTGCCTTCGGGTCTGGGTTAGGCCGTAACATGCCATCAAGTTAAAATAAAATATAAGCAGACATATATATATATAAATATATGTGTACATATGTATAAACATGTATTTTATCAATTAAATAATGTATCTACTTGCAATATATATATATAGGTTTATATTAGGTCTAATTTATATTTTTTATTTCAGTTTTTATTTTTTTATAAATAAAAAAGCTAAAATTGGGATCTGAAGCCAAAAAAGTGTTTTTTGGCCAAAATAGCGGGGCAAGGCACCTACTTTGAACGAGTAGATTTCGGAAAGATACCCAAAATCAATATAAAGATCATCCTAATTGGACAACCGATCGCAAAGTTATGGACGCTGGAAATTTGCATTCACATGTAGTGTGTAACCCATAACCTGCTGGTTGGGTCGAGTTGGTCAATGGTTCAACCACGTAGGTCGAATGAGTTTTTGACCAAGTCAGTGGTTTTTGGTCAAATCCCAGGTTTTAGGATAATCAGACCTAGAAATAGGGTAGGCTGATTGTTCAAATAGTTTGACCATCCGGGTTAACGATGAGTTTAAAACACTTTAGGGTTATTAATCCTTCCCTAAGTAGCATCATCTTTAAGTCTTTTTATTAGTAAATTTTCAAAATAGCTTTTCTATCTTTCCTTGATTTCCTTATCTTTTTATCAACACTCTCTGATCCTTCACTTTGATGCATCGAAAAATTTTTTGCCTTTTCTTTCTCTCTTGTTTGCAAGTTTATAAATTCCTTTTTCTTCCCCTCTAGTGCCTGGTTTGTTGATAGAAATCATCATATTCCTTGAATTTAGATTCAGTTAAATTATTTTTTTGTGTCTTTATATTTTTTTATTTTAAATTTTATACAGATTTAGTTTTTTGCCAATCTTTATAACATGTTTGTTTTGCCTTGATTATTATTCTGAACCTCTTTTTTGCACCGCCAAATATCTTTAAGGCCTTGCTATTTTCCTTTAGATTCTCTTAAAACCTCTCTTTGTTAGTTTCTTCTATATTGTTAACCATTTCAAGGTTGCATTGTTAGTTTTTTTATAAATCTAAACTCAATTTTCCTTCCACTTTAGCTTATTTTTAAGCTGTGGTAGTTACATTTTTTCCATTTAATTCTGACACTAAATTATTAGCTATCTATTTACTTCTCTATTTTTTAGTATATCTGTTTCTACTTTTTTGTCCAGTTTATAGATTCAAGATTCTCTGCAATTTATGACAGCATTATGATATCCAGAAAATTGGTCCCATGTAGGAGGGGCTAGTGAGGCACTAGCAGCTCACTTTGTTCACTCACTTGTTCTTGTATTTTGTTCTTTACTGCTATGAACTTACAAAAATGCATTTGAAGCATGTCTCCTATTCTCTTCATCTTTACATCCTTATTATACTCATAATTAATAAAATTTGTTGTTATCCATCAACTTTGTAGGATTGAGTACTGATTAAAAATAAATCACAGGATTCTATATCAAAAGAGCTTGCTGTAGGAAATCTACTAGAGAAAATTTTAACTGAAGATATTGGAACAGGTAGCTGTTGTTTTTTAGCTGGTGCACAATTGCCTTTATGATCTCCTTTAATTGATTGGGTGGTTTGATCCACTTTGCAGGTATAAATGAATATCCCTTTCTTCATGCACGGGTATTTTCAGCTGTTGCCAAGTTCACTTCCATGGTATATATTAGACTATTTTTGTATCCTTTGCTAGGGTGCAATCATTTGCAAGCAAATTAATATTTCCTAGAATTATGCAGGTTAGCCAGGGAGTTCTTGAGCAATTCCTCTTTGCTGCTATTAAGGCAATTGGTCTGGACATGTAAGAAGTTTTATTCTTATGTATTTCTCCATCTAGAAGAGAAGAATGCACTCTACTTATGGTAAAATTGCTACTTTTTTGGACAGCCCTCCACCTGTAAAAGTAGGTACTTGTCGGGCTGTTTCCCAGCTCTTACCAGAAGCTAACAAAGAAATGCTGCAGCCCCATATAATGGGTTTACTTTCATCACTAACAGATCTTCTTAAGCATGTAATGTATCTCTGTAAAGCCTTCTTTTGTTAATATTGGTTGAAGTAAGCTTCAATGGTTGAAGAATTTGTGGCTTTTTAGGCATCTGATGAAACCCTACACCTTGTGTTGGAGACACTTCAAGCAGCGGTTAAGGCAGGTCTGTGTAGTATTTGCAGAAATTTTCTTTTTGTTTGCCAGCATGTATATTACACATTCAGTATATCAAATAAATGAGTATTTCTTTTGTAGTTGTTTCTAAAGTATTATTTGCTTGTTTGGTTTTACAGTAGGTCACGAGGCATCAACATCAATAGAATCCATTATTTCTCCTATCGTTCTTAATATGTGGGCACAACATATCTCAGATCCATTCATTAGTATAGATGCTGTTGAAGTTCTGGAGGTAATATTTGAACTGTTCTTATGTTGATCTGGATTCATGGTATACTTGATTTTGTCCAGTTTTCCTTGTGCTGCATAATGAAGGTTTTGAATCTTAGTTTAAAACTGGGTTTCAACCTGGATTCAGGCTGAAATTCTCTGAAATTTCAGTGCAATTTTGGAGAGTAAGTGTCAAGGAAAATCATAACTTAAATGGTGAATCTTGTATAGCCTATTTCTTCTTCTTTTTCCTATTTTTTCTGTATCATACTTATTTGACCTCTTTACTTTCCTAATCCCATCGGCTTTCTTAAAATTCTCTTGTTCAATTTCCATCTAGGATCAACATCAAAGGATATGATATTCCCCATCTATTTTGTTCTGGTTCCCTCTGAAATTGGAATTAAAAGTTGGAGTTTCAAGGATTTTGATGAAATTTAAAATCTTGTGCATTACAATTTCATTGTTAAGGAAGAGAAACCTTGCTGAGATATTTTAGAGAGAAAAGGGGATGAGAATGTCACATGTTTAAGAAGATTGCCCTGTAGCATGGCTGTACATAATGCAGAAAAATAGTTATCTTTACTAAAAGAATTGTACAAAGTTTCCTATTCTGACTGAAATGATCCTTTTCCATCTAAATTTCTTTGAATCATTCATAAAACTTTACTGATGCCAAAAAAGGCATCAACCTTCTTTATTACACGTTTGCCCGCTTTTGTTCCATTCTATATAATATGTGCAATAAAATGAGAGGTGCAAAAATTTCACTTAGATATATAGCCACTCTTACCCTTGGTGCATAAGTTGGGTTACTCGTTGCGACCTAGGTGTCCAGGGTTCAAATCCTGGAAACAGCTTCTATATGTATCTGCAGGGGTAAGGCTGTGTACACCTGTCCCTTCTGATCAAGTAAAAAACAGCTTAAACCACAGATCCTCTTGCTCTATTTTATCTTCTACCAAATTTCTTGCCAACTATTCAACATTTAACTTTTTCTTTTTTGAACAGCAACTGTAAACTTTTATTAGATTGTGGTACAGGTAAAAAATGATACTTATATGTGTCTAAGTTTCCAACATTTGGGCTAATTTCTTTTACTTAACCCATTTTTGACATATATTTCCTTTTTTCTTTTTTTACATGAAGAGTATTCCATCAAAATCCCCACAAATGGTTGATCCCTGTTGACCCTTGTCTTGTCACTGTGTCTGCACCACATTTGCAGCTCTCTTAGTCTTGTAAGTTCTTTTGTTTGTATTAAGGTATGCTGGTACAGCCAAGTCCCTACTAGAGAATCATTTTTAGCCATACCATCACTGTTTTGGAGTCACCTTCCCTATCTCAACATTATGCAGGTTCAACATCTTACACAACTTTAATCCTTGGAGAAAAACAACAATTCTGCTCTTGTAGAGTCCCTTTCCTCTATTGGTCCTGAGTAAACAGCAAGAAAGTGCTCAGTATTGTTCCTCAATACCTGAAGGTCCTGTTCAACATTTGACTGCTTGTTCATTGAATGAATTTTAAAAATAAGGAGGAAAATCTTTGTAAGGAACAATCCTCCTGTCTATTGACATGAAACTTTGGAGACATGGTTTAACCTCGGGTTGAGATACAGGATATTGAACATATTTTGATGTCCTGTTGTCTGTTATTCCCCTGTTCTTTGACTTATATGTTGACAAAGTCTGTTTGAACCAATGCATCGACTGTAAAAGCAGTTTCATTCTACCAGTTGGAACTCTCTTCTTCTGCTGCCTTTATAAAGGCTGTAAAACTGCACAAATGCACATTGTTACATTCAAGTAACACTGCAAAGTGCAATGGTGGAATCTATTATAGCAATTTCTGACGTACATTTTGTTATTCTAAAAATGCAATGTTTTCCATTGAATTTCTGAAAACTGAGCTGAAATAAATGAGCAAGATGAAACTCATATCTATAATGAGGTTATCGTTGTTCAAGTATTATTTGTTCATTATGGTAATGTAATCCTGATTTCTTTCTGTGTCTGTTCAGGCAATTAAGAATTCTCCTGGATGTATTCACCCTCTTGTTTCTCGGATTTTACCTTCTATTGGACCCATACTAGATAAGGTACATTTAGTACTTCCTAAAATAGAAAAGTTTGTATGAACATTCTTGGTTTTAGAAAGTTTGATCTCTTACACACCTTTATTGTATCAATAAGCCACAGAAGCAACCCGATGGATTAGTAGCTGGCTCCTTGGATCTTGTAACTATGCTGCTGAAGGTAAATTTTTTGTTTGGTGTAAGCAATGGTGAATTTTCTTTTTCATGACTGGGCTTTCAGAACTATTCCATAGTTGTAATGGTATATAGGGGTTCTTTGTGACAGTGGAATGCCTTGGGGACAGATTTTGACAAACCTAAGTTCAAAAACAATATTATAGAAGAGGATTTAATAAAGCAATTAAAAGAATATTATCAACTAAGGATGGCTATATTCTTATACTAGTGAGCGGGAGAGAAAGATGAATAATGTAAAGGAAAAAAGTGGCCAAGAAGGGAAAGAACAAAAGGGACCTCTTCTTCATTGTCTGATGCTCTAGCCAAACTGGGGATACGTAGGGGACAAATGTTTTGGGCCCAATAGTAAATTTGAAATGGGTAGGGATGTTTATTTATGTATTGGGGTCAAATGTTTTGTGATCAAGGAAGTTAAAGGGGCTAGTATTTGTATGTTGTCTGGTGGTCAGCCACAGTTAACTACACTCTTTAGGGGTTTTCTGCTTCAGATGTAATATTGTCTTTATCATTTTAATAAAATATTTCTGTTGTCTATCAAAAAAGGGGCCTCTTGTTTCCCCTTCTTTGTTTCTCTCATTTTGAAGCCCTTCTTTATGTTCCAATGGTAAAACTGTAAAAGAAAACATAAACATATATAATATATGATAGGGTATTTTAAGACATATTCTAATAAAGTATTGTTTCCCCACCCCTGCCCGAAATCCAGCTTTGGTGGGCTTCCCCCAAGGTGACACCGATGCGCACATAGTGGTATTATTACAAATTTACAATAAGGCGCTCTCCTTATAATTTTTGTTGCCCAGGATGTCAGCTTGTGGCCTAGGTGGGCACCTTTTTAAATGATTTGATAACTATGCAGCATCATATTATATATTTTAGTAAATGGTTTGTGATGGTATGTTGCAGAATGCTCCAATTGACATTGTGAAAGCTGTGTTTGATGTTTGCTTCAATTCAGTTATCCGGATAGTCCTTCAAAGTGATGATCATAGTGAGTTGCAGGTACCTCTTGGTAAACTAAAATATACAGATTTCTTTGTTGCTTTTGGCTAAGTAATTTTAATCAAAATTAAATTAGACTTTTTAATGTCCTTTCTATATTTTATTTTGGCATATACCCCAAGTACAGAATGCTACTGAATGTTTGGCCACTTTTGTATCTGGAGCAAAACATGAAGTGCTTTCCTGGGGTGTTGATCCAGGGTCTACAATGAGAAGTCTACTTGAGGCAGCTTCCAGGTACTTTTGTGGATTGATTGTTTTGTTAACTTTTTCAAAACATCCTGCTAAACTAATTCATGCCCCTTTAATTTCCTTGTTATATATGTGCCTGTTATTAATCTTATGCTTTGCCTAGAAACTACAACACACACATCTTCCTGTAAAAAAAATACCTCACTTTTCAACATGAGTACACTTGTTTGTTTGTTTTAGTTTTTTGCTGAGAAAAGGTAACTGATATGTACTACTATTATAAAAACTGCCCTAGAAAGAATTTTGAGAATATACAGCAGAAAGAGAGGGGGTGTCAGATGGAGGACGACAGTTTCTTTCAAGCAAGGAAATAGAGTGTCATTAAGGAGGAGATGAAAATTTTGCTGTTGGACGAGATGTATTATCAGGAGCTTACAGTGATGATTTGGGAAAGTCCTGCTGGTGGGTGATGCAGCATTTTGGTTTCAATGTTTTTTGACGGAGCAGTGCATGTAAGTCAGCAGGCAGTTTGGAAAGATAATTATACTTGGAGGAGTATGTAGCAGAGCGGAAAAGGAATTCCAAAGGGTGGTTTGTGACATTAGAGGAGAAGTTCGAAAGGGGGAAGAAAGAGGGAGAAGGTAGCAAATGACTTGCATCATATTTTGGTGAATAGGTGGGTTAGAAAGAGGGAGAAACAGTGAGAGAAAGAACCTATGGAAGGAGGGGGACTGGAAAAGGAGGAAATGAAAGAGATAAGAAAGTGGTTAGAGAGGTTGGGGATGGACAGTTGCCCTCTCTGCACCAGAACCAAATGTGTGGTTAAATGGGGAAAAGGATTTTGGGAATAGAGATAAGTGTTATCTTCGAAGGTTGATGTGAAAGACTGAAAGAAGATTTTGGAGGAGGTGATGAAGAAGTTAGGCATGACACAAACAACTATCTTAATACCTTTTGATGAAAACGATTTTGGATGTTGGAAGCAAGGTGGTTGATTTTGTTATAGTGGAAACTCAAGAAGGAACCATCATGGTTGAAAGTTGGTGCCTGTCCTGTAACTCAATGAAGGTCAATGATAGTATCTTTCCATTGAAAGATTGCTGGTGGAAATCCATACTTGAAAGATTGCAGTAGCATTGGGTGAAGTCTTCATCTCTTTCAAAACTCTGATTTGAGAGCGGTAAGTTTGAGGATTGTTGGGGTTTGTTAATGTCAACTGTGTAGGGGTATTTTAGTCTTTATATTTATGTTTAAGTTGCTGATGTATAATGTTCTATTAGTAGTTGTGTCCCTTAATTAAGTAGGGACAAAGGAGTCTTTTTGTTCTTGAATAGGAACATATAAATTTAACCTGTCCGACTAGAGAGAATATAACTCTCTCTTGTTTGAACCAGAATTTTTCTCCTTCTCTATTTTCTTCTCTTCTCCTTCTTCTTCTCATCTTTCTCTTACTTCTACAGTCCTTATTTTAACGGAATTCAAGAGCAGATTAGATTTTAATATGGTATCAAAGCTAGGTTGAGAAAATCGAATCTGCCCAGAATTCTGATCTTCACGCATCCAGCCTAGGGTTTTTTAATCTTTCCTTCGTCTTCAGTTGGAGATAAGGAAAGGGGCTGAAAAGGAGTGATCGCCCTCTTCCCTTGGAGGTTTCTATGCCTCCAGCCATGCAGTTCGTGAGTGTTTGCAGTGGTTTGTAGGAAGCTCCCCCTAATCGATGAAGAGAAGAGGGCTGATTCGAGTGATGTAGTGGAGTGTCGAGTACAACTTGATTTTTTGGTGATTAGGTAAGTGATTTTTATGCAGTTTTTCAGTGTGAATCAAATGGTGGATATGTTCCAAGTCGTGTGGTGAAAGTTCAGGTTGTACTGTGTTAGGGTTTGTGCAGATTTTTGTGTGGTTTGAAGGGGGAATGATCTTCGAGTAGTGTGGTGAGTTTTTAGGTAGTCGTGTAGTAGGGTTGTGGTGTAGAGAGTGAAGAATTCAGCAACAACTGGTGCTGAGAGCAGTGTGTGGTATAGTGTGCAGTGTGGTGAGAGGTGAAATAAGAATTTTTTTTTTCAGCCATGGGAGACAACAGTTTAAGAAAAACCAGTTTGATGGTTCCCACCGACTACCTGAATGTTCAGATGACTTCTATCAAGTTGAATGGAGAAAATTATGTGCCTTGGGTGAAATCTGTAGAAGTCTTTCTTAAAGCAAAGAAGAAAGTGAAGCATTTAAGGGAAGAAAAACCCTCTATTGAATCTCATGAGTATGGTGATTGGGAACAAGAAGATGCACAGATTATCACTTGGTTATGGAACAGTATGGAGCCGAAGATTAGTATGAATTTCATGTTTCTCAATACTGTCAAGGAAGTTTGGGACCATGCTAAGAAGCTATATTCGGGACAAGACAACACAACTAGAGTATATCAGCTGTATTAGGAATGCTTTAATTTGCAACAGGGTAATCAGAGTCTTGAGGAATACTATGCTAGCATGTGAAACCTTCGCAATGAGCTGAATGTGTATCACCCCCTCACCTCTTGATGTTAAAATTCAACAATAGCAGAGAGACAACTAGATGTGACTAGATTTTTTGTGGGGCTGAAGTCTAAATATGAACTAGTGCAGGCACAGATAATAAGCGGATCAACTCTTCCTTCCTTAGAAGAGGTGTTTGCTCAGCTTAGTAGGATTTCTATTAGATCTACCGAGAATTCTAGTGTCTCTGATAGGTCAGCCTTTGCAGTATCAAGGGGTCATGGTGTTAGAGGTGGAGCTCGAGGAGCTCAATCTGGCTATAGTGGTAGCAATGGACCGGTGTATGGTCGTAATGGTGGTGGTGGACCTATGTATAGTCGTGGTGGTTTCCGTATTGGAGGTTAAGATTTAGGGGGAGTCCGTGGTAGAGGACGCAGTTCTGGTCTGAGAAGATGTACACACTGTGGTATGGATGGACATACCATCAATTATTGTTATGATTTGCATGGTCCACCTTCAACTTGGGCCAATCATGCCGTGACTAGTGACAGTGGCTCTAGATAGGAGAGCCATTCAGCTGATCAGATGCCCTCTATATCCACAGATGTTCTCGGGAAGGAGATGATGAGTGTTCCCTGTGATGAGTATGAGAGGTTTGTTCAGGCCACATCTCAACAGAATACAACCATTCTTGCACACTCAGGTATGGCTTGTCTGGCAGCTAAACCCAATCCCTGGATTATTGACTCTAGAGCCTCCGATTACATGACTAGAACTCCAGGTGTGTTCTCCTCTCTCTCTCAGTGCTCAACATCACAATCTGTTACCCTTGCTAATGGTTCCACATCCTCCATTTGTGATGTTGGTAATGTTAATGTGGATCCTTTATCTTTATCCTCAATTTTGTATGTCCCCAAATTTCCTTTTGACCTTATGTCTGTTAGTAAGTTGACCAAGTCTCTTAATTGCTCTATCACTTTTTACCCTTCTTTGTGTGTTTTTCAGGATCTCAAGACGGGATGAAGATTGGTGGAGGGCATGAAGATGGTGAACTATATTACCTTGATGGTGGTGGAAGTACGTCAACAACTTTTCAGCAGACATCTCTCTCTCCTCCCTAGTGGCACTGTCGATTTGGTCATCCATCACTTAAAGTTTTAAAGTCTCTTGTTCATTCGTTGAGTCATCTTTTTGTTTTGGATTGTGAGTCATGTTAGTTGGGGAAACATCATCGTGTTCCCTTTATTCCTAGGGTTGATAATCGTATGTCGAGTCCTTTTTCTTTAGTTCATTCAAATGTTTGGGGTCCCAATAAAGTAATGTCATATAATGGTTATAGATACTTTGTTATTTTTGTTGATGATTATTCAATGATGATGTGGCTTTACCTAATGAAAGTAAGGAGTGAATTGTTTACCATTTTCCAAAAATTTTATGCTGAAACTTGTAACCAATTTGGTGTACACATTAAAATTCTTTGTTCCAATAATGGCCGTGAATATTTTATACACCATTTTAGGAGTATTTGGAACATGGCATTATCCATCAAACTTTCTGTACCTACACCCCACAACAAAATGGGGTAGCTGAGAGAAAGAATCGTCACCTTTTGGAAACTGCTCGATCCCTTATGCACCAGATGAATGCACCCAAACCTTTTGGAAACTACTCGATCCCTTATGCACCAGATGAATGTACCCAAACTGCTCGATCCAATTATAAACTTCATGTTTATGTCTAGAAAATAAACATATTTATGAGAAGAAAAAGAAGAAAGAAAAGAAAATTCAAAAAATATGGGGATTGAACCCCTATTTTTGTTATAGGAAAAGAAGAAGAGAAAAGGTGGAAGAAGAAGAAGAAGAAGAAGAAGAAGATATGGAGGAAGAAATGTGCTGATTAGACAAAACTTTATGTTTTTCCCTTATTGGTTCAAATTCTGAAGTCTTTGAGGGTTCAATACAGTAGTTAGCAATGTTTGTGTTGATTAAGCCCTAACAAATAAGAAAATAATAAAAAGAAATTAGTTTATAAACACAAAAAATGAATATTTTTGTTTAATAATGTCAATTTTATAATTATAATCTCAAAAAAGTAACAATATAAAAGTATTTTATAAGACACTATACAAAGTTGCTAGGTGATTGGGCGAGGCGAGCCTCCAAGGGCGCCCGCCTAGGCATCGCCTTGACAACTATGTTGTGCTTACATTTTGCTTTCTGATTAACCGGATGCCCACGTCCATCCTTGATGGTCATTCTCCTTTCACCACTTTGTTTCCTACCTTGTCTTCGTTTCCCCTTTCTCTTTGGATTTTTGGGTGTCTATTTTGTTCATAATCCCGGACCGGGAAGGGACAAGTTAGATGCACAATCCCTTAAGTGTATCTTCTTTGGCTATTCTCGGACCCAGAAAGGGTATAAGTATTATAATCCTAGTTCTCGACGTTCACTTGTGTGTGTTGATGATACTTTCTTTGAGTCCACTCCGTTTTTCTCGGGATCAAGTGATGTTTTTTGTTTCCTCACCACCGCCTCCTCTTCCAGTTCCATTTGCGGATCCCATTCTACTTGTTCC